TGTTGTGTACTCTTGTATTGGGATAAGGTCGGCGAGAGGAAGATACTTGGGCCAGAGATTATCAAGGATACAACAACTCAGGTAGATGAGATCGAGTGAGGATCAAGTCAGCCCAAGATCAACAGAGATATTACATCAACAACAAGAGGAGGGAGGTACTGTTCGAGGTTGGCGTAAAGGTCTTCCTGAAGGTCTCACCAACGAGAGGTATAGTTCGCTTCGGGAAGAGAGGGAAGTTGCAGCCTCGTTTTGTGGGACCCTTCGAAATACTCAACCGAGTCGGTGACCTAGCCTATCGGTTGGCTCTTCCACCAGAGTTCTCGGGAGTGCACGATGTGTTCCACGTCTCTGTGTTGAGGAAATATGTTTACGACTCCGAGCATACAGTAGACTTCGGCGGGCTTCAGGTTGGAGAGGATCTGACTTATGAGGAGGTCCCGGTAGCCATACTGGACCGAAAGGTCCATCAGTTGAGGAACCGGGAGGTGTCGCTCGTCAAAATCCAGTGGAGCCGCAGGCGAGACCGAGGCTACTTGGGAGCGAGAGGATGAGATCCGGAAGAAGCTTCCGGAATTTGTGTTTTGAGCTTATCCTTTGTATTAGCATTTGGATTTTATTTCTTTTTAGTAGTTTTTGAGTTGTGTTTCCGGGGACGGAAATTGATTTAGGAGGGTAGAATGTAACGCCCCGATTTTATTCAGTAGACGTCTCGAATTATTATTATTTTATGCATTTTATTGCATTTTATTTTCTTAGCTCGACCAGTAAATTTGATTATTTAGACGCAAGTGTATATTTAATTATTTGAGATAATTAATTAATTTATTCGTCTAATTAAAATTAATTTAGAGATTAGCCGAGATTTACTAGAAGTTTTCAGTTTTAGCGAGAACCGATTATATAGCCGTTTTCAGGTCGTCGAATTTATTTCCTCGACTCGTTAGAATTTTTTAAACCAACCACTAGCAATATTTTTCCAGTCAGCTTATATAATCGGCCTTCTTTTGATCATTTTAGCTGACCCTTTTATTTAATTTCCGGCTTCATTTTAATTGATAAAAATTAAGTATTTCCTTAAGCATTTTGGTGGCATTCTCGGAAGACTTGGTCAGCATTTTGAGTGATTCCCAGCCCTTTTATTTCGCCCATATCACATAATTTTAGGAAGGAAGTGGTCCACTTCCATCTCCTATAACTCCTCTCTCTATGCAGTATATATTGGGCTATATCTTTCCTTTTTGTTTTCACGGAATTCACATCAAACAGAGTTTTAGCACGCCTCCAAAAGTCGATAACAGCACCTCTTTCCATCGTCCATAGATCACCAAAATCCCAGATTTTTTTTAATCTCCATCCTCCCAGCCATCATAAACACTCGTTCCTCCATCGTCGGCGCACCCTATCGTCACCCGAAGAAACGAGCAACAACTTGCCAAGGAGGAATCAACGAGCAGCAGCAAGTCGACCTTTTATCCTCACTGTCGCACGACAAGAAGCAGCCGTTCGAGAGCACACGAGAAACCTCTAGCCGTGAGCAAAGCAGCGAGACCGAGAAAGAAGAGCCGAGCCCGAGTTCCACGTTCGAGACCTTTGATTTTCATCTCCTTCAGCCTTCTCGTTTTAGTTCCTTGAAGGAGGTATAAAATCGGACACCCTCTATGATGTTTATGAGTTATAAATGAAGGATTAAATTAGGTGTCTTAAGGTTCATGCAAGTTAATATTTTTGAGTAGTGTTCATGAGAGATGAATTATTGAGTTATCGTTCTTGATGTTGAACTCTCGTTGGGATGCCATTTTAGCCTCTAAAAAATTCACATTTTAGAGTATTTAAGGTCGGGATAATTGTTTTGAAGTCACTGATAATATCGGGATTTATTATGCCTTGTTCGGAGCCTTGCCGGGTTCCGAGATAATTAATTCAAACTGCTGCGTTTTTTTAGGTTTAAGCCTCTGTATATGTGAGTTATCATGGTGTTAAATACCAGGTATAAGCGGGGGTTTAAGGCTCCTAAGTTTTCGAGAATCGAGAGAAAAATCGCCTCTAGTCGGGCCTCTTTTGATTTTTAAATCGAGTTGTGTTAAGTGCTGCGATCTTCTATGTTTTTGTTGTGTTTTAAACCTCTGATATGGGCCTAATAAACCTGGTATGTTAGTGTCTTTTTTCTTCTTATCTTTATCTTTGAAAAGTGAATGTTTTAGAGCAGCAAAAATTTTGGGATATCACCTCTGTTTTTCATGCCCAATTACCTGTTAGTGATGAGCTTTTAAATGCCTTTACTTGTGTTTAAAAATGGTGTTTAAATTAGTGGGACAAATTGTCGTTTAGTGCGACTAAAATCAAGCTTCTTTCCAATAGTTGAGCCATTATATTTTTGATAAATGGAGATAAGTTGGTGCGCATTTTTTTGAGATAAAACCCCTATTTTTCTGCCTTTAAACACTAGGTATATTATTAGTATTCTTAATGTCATGAGAGATGATTAAATATTGGTAATCATTTTGCTTTGGAAATATTTTGTTAAAATGAGATCTTTTTATAAATCGGAATTTTTGGACTTCTAAAAATGTATTTTTATATTGGTTGAAAGACGTGTCGTTTGGATCGAGGAAGTTGTCGGGGGACGCCCCGGTGACCTACAGAGCCTACATGATACGCCCCTGCGGCTAATACTAGTCCCAACAGCCAGTGGCCGTGCCATTAGGCACGTGAGCTACCCAGTGGCTCAACCGAGTGCGAGGCTGAGGTCAGCCGCAGCACCAGAACGCAGCGGCCGCGCGTTT